TTTTCTTTCCAAAGTGTTAATATTTTCATGGGCTACAGTTTGATTTTCTTTCTTATGCACTTGTTGTTTATTGCAAATGTTTCAGGAAACCGTGGAATACCTGCATTCGATCGACAGCTGTGAGTATATTTGGGAAGCTGGCGTAGGATTCGCCACGTCCCCTCCACACTATCCGCAGCATGATTCGCATCGAGTGGAAATTCTCCGGCTTCTTTTGACGTGCTTCTCTGAAATCATGTACGTCAGCCCAAATAGTAAGATCGTTTATCCCGAAGGCCGAGGACAAGCAGTTTAATTGTTATCTTACTTTAAGATACGGCATATCAAAATCGATGGATCAAACACTTTACGTCTGCCGAAAACCGGTAACTAGTTCATCGCCGTGATCATCATCGTCATCATCATCAGGCCCATTAGCTTGTAGTCGATATATTAGGCAACCACACCTATCAGCTATAATTTCTTGCAAAGTTTGAAGGCGCTTATGTGACGTCGTATAAATGATTCTAACGATTAGAGCTATCAACCGGTGATTAGATTTGAAATTTTGAGATTGAGAAATATTTAGAGATTTTTAAACATCAACCATGATGGGTGGCTTCATCCTATGAAGTTACGGGGCATCTGATATCGCATCTGATCTTCCTTGGAGGCAGATTTTCATATATTATGGAAGTGTCGTCGACTTTATCTATTGAAGAAGAAATAGAAGCTTCTGTCCATTCGTTTGGACAAACGTTTGAACTGGTGCGAGGAGTAAATTTATCTAATTAGCCGCTAGTTGTCTTGAGCAAGGAAATCGCCTCCTGTACAACCCGCCGAGAAGCAGTTGGCTAATCCAATATCCTGTGAACAAATGGAACAACGTGGTGTTCGTCTGTGATTGTGCCAATCATACTTGAGAAACCTAGTCGTACTCTTCGGACACGAATTTTACTCCTGTTTAAGCTAACTTGTAGCCGACTTGATAAGTGCAAAGTCGAGCTCGTAAATAGAAAGTAAAGACCTACATGAAACTAATGTTTTGCGGCAGTAGCCAGCGATGGTCTTCGTTATGTTTGATCATTATACAATTTGTGTTTTTCTCTTGGATACTAAATGATTTCGCAGTTAACTGTTTTAGACACGTCCTGCCCCTGTTTACGAGTTTGATAAACACTATCTTTTCTTACGATCCAATTGGCTACGGCATGCCCTACAACTATCTCTTGTTTTTGGATAGTCGTGAGCCTCTGGTCAGTACTGCTTTGCAGGTGCTGAATGTTTGTCTAGAGAAAACGGCCGAACGTCCAGATGATAACGGTGACATGGAGGTAAAGGGTTTTCAGTTATTTTTGTCTTTTACTTTCAGCCAGTCTCTTATGTTCTGTTTTTATAGGTGGGCTACTTTGAAAACTTTTTCGTCAACTACTTATCTAGGATTCATAGGGAAGAGGTGCGATCAGTTTTTTTCGTTATTTTGTTGTAAGCTTTTTGCTTTTTACTCAGGACTTTGATTTCATTCTTCGCGGATTCACCAAGCTGCTGAATAATCCGCTGACGCAGACTTTTCTGCCAAGATCTTGCAAGAAGGTTTCATTCAATCAGGAACTTCTCGTTCTATTCTGGAAATGCTGTGAATTCAATAGGGTGGGTTGAAGATACCGGCGAAGTTACCTCTTTTCTGGAAGTTTTTGGTTCTTTCATGTTCTATGTTCTCATATTGCAGGATAATTTTAACTTCGATAGTCGCTTCCTCGTAATAATTGGCAACCCTGGATCCCGTTAAGCATTGATAAAGATTTCACAAATAGAAACAGTTCCTAAATTTGTTTTAAAATATTTATAACCCAATTTAATGCAGTTTAATACAATATTAGTTAGGTCAAGTAGGTATGACTCCTCTGACGTCAGATTTCACGGCGTGTTGCGCCGTCCCTTGCTCTTAGTTGTCTCGGAGGCCATTAAGGTAGGTCATGGTTCCAAGGTATTTGCACACCTGTTATGACAGATGCGTCTCAGGTTATTTTATTGGCTGGAGCCACCTCGCGCTCATTACTAACGATAGATCGAGAGCTGGTGCTCCGCATATGTTTAGCATGAAAATATGCCAATTAGCGCATAGGTCATTCCAGCTTCTTCCTCATACGTGGAACAGTATTTTTATTAATCTCTGACCACCGCATTTTGAAATTCTTCCAGTCAGCGTCCAGTCATCTTATCGTTTACTCTCCGAAATGGTGACGATAAATTATGAGAAAACGTTACTGATGGTGAGGACTATGGAAATCCGTCAGAATAACTTTAACCTCTGCCTCTGAAAAGAGAATAGCATTTGCTGTTGTCCACTTGGCCGGTAATTAGAAAATGCGTCGTATAGGAAGTAAGGGATTTTTCTGAAGTGAATCAGTTTTGAGTTTATTTCTTTTTTCTTCTGGTTTGGAGTGACTTTCAAAATTGAACTTGTAGAAATTGATTTTAGTTAAATATTCGCTGTCAATTTACGTAAATATGTGTAAATAATATTTTAAGCAACTTCGTTCATGAGGTAGTAACAAATTCAAATTATGAACGGCTGGTTTCGCCCTCCTTATATGCGGTCCCCTTCAGGTAGCGTGAATATTTCGTCATATCTTTAGACATTAAATGATAGGCTTTGCAGCACCAAAAATTATGATAAAACAAAGGTAAAGTTCTAAAACGTTTGTTTTTTAGTAGGCTGAATACATTTATCTTTGCTGTCCCTCAAATGACGTATTTTTTTTTGATTTAGAGGTTCTTGTTTTATGTACTAAAAAGCAGCAATGTTTTGGACATTCTCATTCCAGTGCTGTACCATCTAAATGACTCTCGGAATGATCGATGTAAGTGTTGAATGCATGCTAATAATTTTTTAGATTTTAATTATAAGGCAGAGTTATTTCTAAGTGTTCCAGAAGGGACACGAGAAGCATACATTTCCTTCAGTGACAGTGCAGTTAACAATGTGCCAAAATACTTATAAAAGTTATTGAATGCAAATAAATCGTAAAAGACAAGTGTTCTGTTCAGAGTCGTATGGCTTTCAAAACGTCTTCTTGTCACGCCTTGCAGTTGTAGCATTATTTGACAAATAGGCTTACATATCTAGCTCTCTGCAGTCAGTTGATTTTCTGCATACTGACAGGTGTCGGATAAAAACCAGCGTTTTGTTGGTGCAGATCTGCTCTCAGCTGTCTCAGTGTTTCTATTTCCTGTTCACACCGATAGTCAGCAACATAAAACGTACGATCGAAGAGTGCGTAGAGATGACCGGAAAATATTTTGCAAGTAAATGCGCACTGTTCTGCTGAACATCGGGAAACGTACTGCACAATGCGGCTGTCGTACGAGTGACCATTAGTAAAAAACTTGTTACATCCACAAAAAAACTTTTCTCTCTAAGAAACTCTTAGGCGTGTTTTTTGAATGAACTATTTTTCTTTTGTAGACAAAAAATTAAGTCTATCGGACATCCTTTAAACCTTTTTAAAGTTTGGACACCTCATGCTTGAGAACTATGTGCTTCTGTGATTATTTCTGAACAATATGGACAGCCACTTTGTTATTTTTGTGAACAGTTGAGCACATCACTTCTCAGAGTTTTTCCTTGCATGCGAAATGTAGGCAGTGGAAGGAAATGTAATCTCTTGCTTTCTGCGCTGAAGGTTCGTTGCCCAAGAGCAGGCAGAAACCGTAATTTTTCAATTTTGCTTATGCGAAAAGAATTCATCATGGCATTCTAGAAAAGTTTCAGTCTTTTCGGCTAAGGTACTAAGGTACTTAAATCACCCTGTGCAGTTTGGGTTGACCCTCTCGATAGAGCTCATAGTTTGGACAAAATTCATAAACTAAAACTTTTTATCCAAGCCGTCATTAGAAATATGATGGGATTCATAAGGCAGATATTTCGCTTCAATCACTAAGTTTTTTTAAATCAGTGCTCATAGAAGTTCATTTTTCAGCCCGAATTGGTTTGGTACACATGGGTGTTTTCATTCTGTTACTGCTAAGCGGGGAACGCAATTTTGGCGTACGTTTGAACAAGCCCTACACTAGGCGCTTGCCGATGGATATCTCGATGTTCACCGGCTCTCATGCTGATTTGCTGATAATTGTATTTTGCTCTATTTATTTTTGACTGGTTTAATTTGTTGTAATTTTTCATTAAGGTGTTTCACAAGTTAATCACCACAGGAAACCACCGTCTACAGTCGCTGTTCGACTGTTTATTGACGATTATAGTTAACGGTGAGTATGACAGTGCTAGAAGAGATTGTTCTTCGTCATATCAACCTATTTCATCGCTTTCAGTGTCACCATACCTTAAATCAATGTCGATGGTGGCCGCCAACAAGCTACTACATCTGCTTGAGGCGTTTTCCACCCCATGGTTTCTGTATGGTTCTCCTAACAATCATCACCTGGTGTTCTTCCTTCTCGAAATTTTTAACAACATTGTTCAGTACCAATTCGATGGTAAGTGCTACAAAATGTCCGTAACATTTAGTTAATCATAGTGCATAATTTGTGTTTTATAGGAAACTATAATCTCGTGTACACTCTTATTCGAAAGCGGCAGGTTTTCTACCAACTTGCTAATTTGCCTACCGATGATGCCTCTATTGCTAAGGCACTCTCTGGACGGAAAGGACTGACTGCGAAAAGTTCGATCCCCAGGGTGAAGACTCACGAAGATCCTCACATCATGGAAGGCAAGTAAATCGCTTCAGTCTCTGATTGCTGAATAGTGTTTTTTAGGCGCGAAGACTCCGGCTGAAGCCAAACCGGGAACCCTTAATGCATCGATCGGCCAGATCCCCAGTACGAGTCGCTTTAAGTAATTTCTAAACTCATACCGA